CACACTTCCTCGAACGCCTTTGCTCTCCTCGTTACAGTCTTCTTTTTTCTCTCGTCGAGCCCCAATTCTGCTTCCATGTATGCGTACCCACTAAACATACGTTTCGATACGCAGTTCTGATGCGAATTCGGATCGTACTGAAATTCCGATGCATTATCAATGCGAGTTTTCTTTGTTGAATTCACTTTCTTTTCTTCAATTGACTTCGTCAAAGTTACTTTTTCCATTGTTCTTTTCCTTTACTTTAAAGGTATTTCTGTATTCATTTTTGAAGGTCTTCTTTGCTGTTCGGATACACGGTGCAGGCCGTTGTAATCTGGTACGCGTTTTTTAAAGCTTGATTACGATAGTACGATAAACCGTGTAACAGCTCGACTGCGAATCTTCGTGCGAAGTAAAAATTATTTACCACAATTGTAACGAATTAAAGTGAAACGGTGATTTTGTTTCCTTTCTTAATTGACGTTGGAAATTGAAAAGGACGTAAAAGTATCCTTAAAGTCTTCTTTCACTGTCTTGTGTTACACCTGCTCAGTTTTGTTCTACGCGCATAAAATCCGCGGTGCAACCACAGCACAACGATTTAAAGGATAAACACGTTGGATCGTCCTTTAAAGCTTAACAACCCCTCTGCCGTACTGTGACTAGTCAGGCCCGGGGTGGTGATTTCTAGTAACAACCTGTTACGTGCGAATATTATTCCGTTCTTTTAAGTCGAAATAAAATTCTGTCCTCTTGGCATCAAGATTTTGAGGCGCTCAACTAAATGTAGGCGCGTAATAAATGTTTCATTTTCTTCTAAGAAATGATTACCATCAGAAAAAGTTCTGAGCATTTTAACGGTGAGGAAAATGATATGGTAAGGGATATTACCATATAACAATATATGTTAATGTAAATATCAGTTTAGCGGAAAGATAGCAACAGTTTAGAGGGTAGACGAGTATGGTTGCTTTTAATGCCTAATTATCACAGTGCGTTGTGCTATTATCATATTATTATTATTATCATATTATTATCATAAGTGTGCATTTGGTATATGCAAATATCAGATGAAATTTTTTGTACAATAAAGCACACAATATTGTTGTACTTGGCGTTTGCAAGTAGCAGGCGAGCTTTTAATAGAACATTAAATAGAAATTTTTAATTTTAATACATTCTTGGTAAAAATTCAGATTGTAATTAATGTTACATAGAGTTGATATCGACTGTAGTGAATTTTCATTATGAATGTACATTATAATAGAGAAGTTTATTTATTATAATAGAAGTTCAAATTTCAGTAGATCTTCGATAGATATCTGAACAGAAATTTTTAATTATAATAAATTTGCAATAAGAATTTATATTCTAGCCGGAAGATGGTAACAGTTTAACGGGAAACGTAGCAAAACAGTTTAGCGCACGAACTAGGATTGCCAGGAAAGAATAGGCTAAAAACGAGCGTTCGGCAGCCTAAGCATCGGTAGAGAGCAGAAAAGTGGAAGCGGATGATAACGAAGGGGTGTAGCTCGTTGGGCATCGAGAGAAAAATTCGGCGCGGGCGCCGACAGCTAATTACCCCCGGCCGTTTGGGGCAGCGCGCAAATTCGTTCCATTTTTACGCGGCAAGCGGCGCGCAACGAGTCCCAATTCCCTTCACAATTAACCGCACCGCATTACGACCCTCGAACTTTTCGTCAACTACCCCCTACCCTCGGCTCCGTCGGAGGAGCCGATGCTCGCGTCGTGTCCGTCCGAGTCCATTGGCTCGTTAAACGGGGAAAACAGGAGGCGGAACAAGGTAGACGAAGAAAAAAGAGTCCAAAAAAAGGTGTCTTAAGCGAGATCAAAAGCTCTTCCACGGGGGTGACCCGTGGTCTGCGGTCGTCGCGCGTCCATCCCTGTCGGTATCTGCCTCGAGCCTCGAAAAGAGCGGCTCCGCCTCTCTCTCTCTCTCTCTCTCTCTCTCTCATCGTATCCTCTCCACCCCCTCTTACTCCCACCGCTTCCTGTCTCTGTTCTTCTGCTTTTCTGCCTCTTCCTGTGTCTGGCCGTCTCTGTCTGTCCCGTGGCGACGCTACGCACGAAAATACCGCCTTTCGTTAAAGGTGAACGGACGAAATCGCGAGTTACACGTGCGTGCAAGATCCGACGAGGGTGATGCGTCGGCGGGTGTGCAGGGCAAAGGAAGAGGAGAGACAGGGCCAGGCCAGGCCAGGCCATGGCTGCTGGTCAGGAAGGGTAGCGAGGGAAAGAGGCGCAGAAAGGGTTGAGGGTGGCGATGGCGGTGGCGGTAGCGGTGGTGGCGGCGGCGGCGGCGGTGGTGCTGCTGGGCTGGCTCGTTCGTTCCTCCGTTGGATAGCTGGAGAGGGAAGAAGAGGAGGAGGAGGTGGAGGAGAAGGAGGGGGAGGAGGTGGTGGGTCTCGTGCCGGTGGAGGAGACGGACCGCGCGAGCCAGACGAAAGCAACGATATCAACGTCTCCCTCGCGCACTCTCGCATGTAGACCTCACACCACCGGCTGGGTGCCGCCGAAAATCCCCAAAAGCACACGAAACAAAGGCCTGGCTCTGCCCTCCCTCTATCACCCACCGCCTCCTCATCCTTTGGTTCTCGCAGGAACCACGTAGCACACGCGTGCACCACGAGCAGCAGCCCCTCTCTCCGCCGACAGAGACACAACGACGACTTCTCTCCCTCCTCCTCCCACCTGCACGACCGCGTGCTATCTTTCTCTTTTTTTCCTTTCTTTCTTTCTTTCCTTCTTTCTTCCTTTCTTCTTCTCTTTTCCGAACCGTGCGCGACCGGTCTCCGTGTGCAAGCGGCCGGTGGCCATGTGTTGGGACGTGTGGGTGTGTGTGGCAAACGCGAGCACGTGCACGTGCACGTCGAAGAGCTCGCTTCGACGAGCCTCGAAGCTCGATAGAGAGCTGGCACCGCGGAAACCCGTTGTTCCACGGTAATTGTTCGGTTAAGGCTTTTCGGGGACTGGCATTAGTTCCGTCACGTGAGTCCACCGCGCGCCACCTTTTGTCCGCCCTTCTCTGCTACTCGTGGACTCGATACTCTCTACGCGCCAGATTTTACACCGATCGCGCGACGATCGACCGGCTTTTTCTCCTACGAAATCATCCACCTCTCCGTTGTCCACCACCTGCGAGACAATCCTTCTGTTTACGCCGACGGACACGAGGGAAACATTCTCTCGGAGCTTCGTACGACCACATTACGGACCGTCGACACCGCGGGGCGTTTTAATTATAGAACGACGCGAAAAGTAACGAACGCGGGCGGCGGTTTTCCGAATTCGTGATCCCGCGTTTCTCGCGGCGTCTCTGAAGAGATATTGAACCGTTCGCATCGTTCTGCGCATTTATTTTGAGACTGACGTGTGAAAATATCGGTGACGTATTTTCGCGTCGGTCTGGTCTAAATCGAAAACCCGAATGACGCAGACGCGCGCAGCATTTCGTCGTTAATTTTCTAGATATCATCGGGTAGCTTGTCAGACTCCGCAGATCATCTGTTTACGCGTTCGAATGTTGCACAGACTTTTCTGCAACTGTTTTTTTTTTAATACCTTTCTCACGCGTCTACGTTGATCGACGCTTCTTCGTTCCTGACTTCGTCACAGTGGAAGCAGTTAACGCCTGCGAGAGCAAACGAGAGAACCGTATTGCATTTGGTAAACACGTGGTATCCAGACTGTGAACAGCTTTTTAGAATATGTAATATTTGACGAATTCAAAAGCGACACAGAGGATCTATTTCTAATCGTCGAGCTTTCATGCAACGATTACATTCCACCGTCGCATCTGTCTATTTGCATCGAACGCATTCTCGACAATGTCAACGACAGGCAACGGACGAATTCCGTTCACGCGTTATTAACGAGACACGAAAAATCTGGCACCCTGTAAACACGCTGGATAATCTTAAACGCGATGCGATAAGGCTCGTGTAATTACGTAATTACGTAATTACCTATCCGATTGTATCCGCAAATTCTGCACAGGATGCGCCGTTAATTGATACAAGGGGAGCAGAATTAACATTTAGCAAAAAGCAACATCGATGGATCGACGGTAATGAGACATCCCTGTTCGCGAGCGGAGAGAGAGAGAGTGAGAGAGGGGTGGGGGGAGCTGCTTTTAATTACCGTTCGAAACGTACGTTCGACGGTATTGCGATAAGAAGCTGTGCATCACGATTAATCTCCGTGTCTTTAACGAGCTGTAATAATTGGCCGAGCAGGTCGGTCGGTGCGTTTTCTTCAAGGTTAGTCGAAAGCCCCCGGCGCTGAGTGGGTCGGCGAGCTGAAAAATCGATATGTACGAAAGTGAGAGTCTCAGCCGTTTCACCCTCCTTTTCGTTCTCCGCGCTCCTCGTCCTCTTCTTACTTGCCATTTGGTTCATTCATGTTGCGTTGCGTCAGGGCCGTGGCTCCTCGTCGAATCGCATGGTCTCGCGCGCCTCCGACCATAATACATCAATTAACGCCCCCGAAACAATAGGCATCGATAACCCAGCAGGAATATTCATTGAAAATTCGCTCGCTCTGTTGAATCGTTCTTTCAACATTTTCACCATTTATCCGAACATTGCAAACACACCGTGAAAACTAACGATATAACATATAAAGTAAAAAATTATTTAAAATATCGAAGGAAATGTTTATGTTAACTGTGCGGTCTAGGGCCGCGAGAGTCCAGTATCGAAAATTTTGTCATTCGTCGGCTCCACTTTTGGATACAGTGTTTGTTCTTATCATAGAACGCCGTGATATCGGAAGAATTTTAGTCCCGATAGCCGAGATAAGACGACCTATTTTATTCTGTACAATAAATAATATTCCTGCATCACAGTATGGCTGGGCATTCGCGTAATTGAGAACCGTAATCGTATCGTTGAATATCTACACACACGTTGATCCTTTATCGATGTTTAAAATGACAAATCTAGTATACGTTAACTGTCGAAAAGCATGCTAATTTTTGGTATTCTTCTCTTTTTCAGTGGTGCCGGAACGAAAGTTCTCGCAAGCAATTTCCCCAGTCACACCCGCGTGGAGGATATAGAAGCCCTTTTTGGAAACTGTGGTCAATTGCAGTCTGTCGAGAAGCTTTCATCACGTGATCCGAACACACAAACAGTTCTTGTTGTCTATGAGACGCCAGAACAAGCGCAGCAGTGAGTAAAATCGTACTCTTCATCGCTAGTAAAGCCAAACGCGTGCGAAACTAACTCGGCCGAACCAACGGGAACATAATGTGTCGGTCGAACAGTCGTCGTCGATTGTGCGAAATTTGAATTTCAATGAAACAGAAAAATTGTTGAGATTATTGATTCCTCGATCGCATTCTCCTTCTACCAAAAAGCTTCTTTCACGTACCGTTCCGTCGCGAAACTGCATTTTCCAGTCGTGAAATTCCGCAACGACGTCCAGCATTTACGAATCAACTGATTGGTATGCTCATTACCAAATGTGTCACGCTCTTCGCGCTTGTTTCACCGGCAAACGTGCCATCGGCACCGTTCGGACACGCTCGCGGTCCTCGGCAGGGTCTAAACAGAGTGTCCTACATTCGAGCATCCATAATTCACGAACATTTTTTTCCCATTTATAGAGCAGTGAGTCAGTTTAATGGACACGATTACGAAGGCAGTGCGTTAAAAGTGGAAATGTCTGCGGCAGAGAGCAGACGTAGAGGCCGGAGCCAGCGCAGCGGGGTTGCCTACTCCGGAGTATCCGGTTCCGGAAGGCAGACGGACTTCCCGCTTCGTATTCTTGTACAATCGGACATGGTGGGTGCCATAATCGGCCGTCAAGGATCAACCATACGACAAATTACACAAATGACCAGAGCCCGCGTTGACGTCCACCGGAAGGACAATGTCGGTGCCGCTGAGAAGGCCATTACTATCTATGGTAATCCGGAAAATTGTACGAATGCTTGCAAAAAGATCTTGGAAGTTATGCAACAGGAAGCTAACAGTATAAATAACAAAAGGTAAGAACGTCCACGCGTTAACGTAAATTTTTGGAGGAACACTAAATCCATCTCTACATCTCTTCTTCATTAATCTGGTCCTAAACAATTTCTCGTTCTGTCCCTTGATAGCACTGAGATCACTCTCAGGATCCTTGCTCATAACAACTTAATCGGCCGAATGATCGGGAAGGGCGGTACCACAATCAAGAGAATCATGCAGGACACGGATACGAAAATTACTGTGAGCAGCATAAATGACATCAATAATTTTAATGTCGAACGCATTATCACAGTGAAGGGTAGCATCGATAACATGAGCAAAGCTGAATCGATGATCTCCAATAAATTACGTCAAAGTTACGAGAATGATCTTCAGGCATTGACTGTGAGTATTAACATCGTAGTTGCTAGACGGAGAGAACTTTACGATACGGTGAACGTGGAGCTAACTTCGAATGATTCTGTTCCAGCCACAAAGCACAATGTTCCCGGGTCTTCACCCAATGGCCATGATGTCGACGGCAAGTATAGGCTACAACTCTCGTGGTCCCGCTTTGTACGGATCGGGTCACATTCCGTACCCATACCAAGCAAGCTTGCCCACTCAACAGGGCGTCCCCGCTGCCGACACTCAAGAAACTGTATTCCTTTACATTCCTAACACTAGCGTAGGCGCCATTATCGGCACCAGGGGTTCATACATCAGAAACATGATTAGATTCTCCGGAGCGAGCGTGAAAATCGCGCCTCTTGAGCAAGACAAGCCTGCAGAGCAACAGACTGAGAGGAAGGTGACAATCGTTGGATCGCCGGAGTCTCAATGGAAGGTAAGCCGGACGCGATGATACTACTTGCAAAATCAAGTTTGTGCATACGATGGGAACAACGAAGAGTTTTAAACCTTTTAGTGCCATGCGAAAAAGAGGTGCCTATGCGAGAATAACCGACCGAATTTCACGGTTTTACTAGGGTTTGGGAAAATGCTCATAAAAACCAAACAAGAAACAATATTTACGTGATTCAAAAAGCTGTAAATTAAGGACGAAATAGAGAGCAAAACAATGACACTAGATTTTCTATATTCATTGAAAATTATATAAATAACAAAGGTATAAAAGATCATAAAGAAAGTAAAAGTCCAGTTCTCTTTTTTACAAAACGTATTTGCACATACAAAAAGTCATCCTTTCATCATAATTTCATATAGATCATTTATTACAAAGTATATACTTTGCATTTCTGATCTATTTTGTAACAAGATAAATAATATTACATAACAAACATAAAAAATAACTCGAAGGTACATGGTAAGCGCCGGACGGATTATCTCTTCCGAAATATGTAATTGTTATAGGTAATATAACATTGCTGAAACAAAATTATGTTGTCATAAATATATTTGTGATATAATTTTGCATAATACTTCATTATAATATAAATATTTATATTTATATTTATATATTATAAATGTGTAAAATTTTGTTATTATAAAGCGCTATATAAGGCGCGGGCCGATATATCTGCTCTGGCACTTCTCGCCAGTGCAGCAAAAGCCGATATATCGGCCTCCGGCACTAAAAGGGTTAAGGTGTGCTTTGCTTTTTTGATATGTTGCGGAGGACCAAAAAATAAGGGATACTTTTTTTTTTATATTGGCACAAGTCTATTTTAGATGGAATACGAAAAATCGTTTAAAGATTGTTGAAGGATTATTATTAAACTTGTTATAAACTTAATTTGTAGAATATCTGGGTGAGTGAATACTGCTCTTGTCATCAGTCAGCCTTGACACAGGTTAAATACAATGCATATTCCAACAAGTTATTGCATGATAAGAAATTAATGAGCATATGATCGTCTACCTTTGGTGAGGGGTATACCACTCCTGACTATGATAAACTACATTTACTTTAATAATGGTCCATCAAAATCAAGTAAAGATTATTTCTTGACTTCCAAATGATGACGATTGTTACCCGTTGTCTCGCTTGTTATACACTTGATAACCTCACATTTTTGTTTTATTTCTTACACTTTTACTTTCAATTTGCACTTTCAAAAATAATTTAATACATATCTTTTTTGAATAATATTATTCTTGTTAACGAAGCATGCACTTATTCAGAACACAATTTTCAAGAAATAATGTTTACTTGAATTTGATCGACCCCTATTAAGGCAAATGTAATTCACCACAATCGGGGGTGGTTTACCCCTCGGATAGGGTGGAAGGTCATAAATACACTAATTTGTTATCAAACAATAATTTGTCTGAGATTTCTTCAAGATGATATGAACTCTGCAGGTTTCAAATCTTTTAAATGTACATTGAAACGATTAGGGATAGTTCACGCTGTGTCAAGGGTGACTGACAACAAAAGCAGTATTCATCTATGCAGATATGCTACAAATTAAATTTATAACGAGTTTGATAATAATTCTTGAACTAACTTTAAGCGATTTTTCGTATTCCATCTTATTAACTTCGAGGGGTGGTTTCTCCCCCTAAATATGAGTATGAGTCGATATAAAAAAATACGTATCCCTTTTTTTTAGGCCTCTATAACATATTCAAAAACTAAAGCAACCGAAGGCCGACACCTAAAAATCCTTCCTCGTAAGTGTTGTTGACAATTCATATGACAATTAGTCGCACGCTCATAGGATATAGTGAACCACCTGAAATTTTAAATGTAAAGTCTACTGTGGCTCAGTGGCTAAGGCGATTGCCCAATTAGAGTGAATAAATTAAATATCAGAATTTTACACTAAACGTTCCCGTACCAAGTAATGTAAAAGTATAACCACTTTTAGCATGTTTTACAAAGTAATTGTAATATTGGTTTTCGGCGTGCCCGTACAAATTAAATCAAATTAAATTAAATAAAAGAAGAAAACGGTAACAAAATGTGCGTATGTGCGCAAGTTGGTTCCGTTTACATTACCTTCGACAAAATTTTTGTCTAACATATGAATATACGTATCTCAGCTATCTTATGCAGTTAAATAGTTAAACCGAATGGTCTGTGGTACATTTTCAGGCGCAATACTTGATCTTCGAGAAGATGCGAGAGGAAGGATTCGCTTCCGGTGCCGATGACGCTAGACTAATGATTGAAATCCTAGTACCAAGCGCCCAAGTTGGCCGAATCATTGGTAAAGGCGGACAAAATGTCCGAGAATTGCAACGCGTGACAGGGAGTGTTATTAAACTATCAGAACAACAAACGACGTCTCCTTCTGCCGACGAGGAGGCCACGGTCCACATAATCGGCCCATTCTTTTCTGTTCAGGTAATCCACGCGTACATCTGCCTTCTTTGTTCTACTTACATACAATTTGATGAGCGAGTTATTTCGCCAATAATATTAAAAAAGCTCTCCATTTGCTGTTCGATGCATTTGCAACGTTTAGAACACGGTCACATCTAATCTGTAAAGAAAACAATAAAGTTCATTTAGAACACGGAATGTAAGAAATTGTTCGAAAGCTGTTGATTGTTATACAACTGTCTTAAAACAAATTCTTCAAAGTGAGTTACTCAATGTAATTAACAATAGTACTATCAAAATCAGTTAAAACAACTGGTTATTCATTCGCGGTCAGTGAAATTATACAAACGTTCCTATAAAACATTTTTTGATCAGCTTCTTCGCTGCTAGTTAAATTAGAAAAGTGACTTTTTTAGAATAAAATAAGACAACAGCAATTTGTTATAAATGAACAAATGAAATTAATTACGACTTTTACGCATTAACAGTCTGCCCAGAGGAGAATTAGGTCCATGGTGTTACAACCGAGTGCATCTGGAGCAGGTGCTGCGTCACGCGCAGGACGCGGGAGCAGCCAGGAAGGTGGTCCTCGTTCCAGAAGAGACGGTAGTGCCACATCTCAGCAAGGTGGCGCGACAACGCAACAAGCGTTGAGCTCATCTCCTAGCCAGCAACAACCACAAAATCAGTAACAGAACTGAGACATTTCCTGACGCAAACGCTAGAATCCGTTTTATTCGCCGGGGTGGCCTCGTCGCTTTGACATTCTCTCGTCTACGAGAGGCTACGTGCCACAACCTCCTTCTCGCGGGGCACGTATCCTTCGAGATTACTCGCAGAGCGGCCGAGCGATGCGCGCACTGCATCCGTGGGTCACGCGCGAGACTTTTCCATCGATATTGTGACGACTGCCACATAACAGTAGCCGATACAAATTCAAAATCATCCATTTGATTCGGGGATCGATAGCCGGTCGAACACAGAGCTTACGATCGATGGCGTGTTTCTTTCAGTCTTTTTTGGTTTTTTATTTTTTGAAATTTCTTGCTTGTATTTTGTTTTCGTTTCGGTTTTCTCTTTTTGGTCGGATTTAACAGTACAAATACACGGTTACTTTTACATTACAATAAAAAAAAAGGGGAACGCTTGGTGTAATCCTGATTATTCGCACTAATGGCGCCCATCGATCGTAGCCATCCATTGTCGCGTCGCGTTTCTCGCGCCTCGAAGTGCAATTACGCGAGCGAACGCGACGCGGGCGACGTCTGTGTGTGTGTGTGTGTGCGTGTGTGTGTGTGTGCGTGTGCGTGCATGAAGAACCAAATGGAGGAAGCGCATGTCTCTTCGTAGAGAAGAAAGTCACACGCGAGACGATGTGAGAGATGACACGAGTTCGTTCCCTGACATCGCGTTCGTTTTTCTTGTTTTTCTTTCTTGCTTGTCGAGCAGGCTAACCTTGAGAAGTTCAATTTCACTGGTCGAGAGATGAACGTCCGCCAATCGTACCCAGAAGAACACAGACAAAACAGGTTCACAGACAGCTCTCTCACCTCATCTACGCGCGACAACGTGCGTTTCGTCGCGAGTTCACTCGATCGGAGTCGAAGCGACGGGAAACACTCGAACAAAATCAATTTTTTTTCTTGTCATCGTATTCTATAGATCTGGTTTCATCGACGAAGTGGATCTATAGAATACGCTGATAAGGGAAAAAAAACAAAACATAAGCAACCTTATTACCTCATTCATTAACGGTTAAAGATTTAAGTAATGATAATGAAAAGCGGTAGAGAGAGGAAGGATGATGAAAACCAACCACTCTAATGAGAATGTATAGTTTGTTTACTTTTTCCTTCCTTTCTCGGTCCGCTTCTCATTATCGTTATCATCTAATGCAAATGTAGATGAAAGAAATCTACTTAATATTAAAGTTATAATAATATACGAAGAAATAGAGAATGGGAGGGACAGAGAAAATAAGTAACGATTACACTTACATTATACATGTTACTGATACTGCTAATAAAACTACTTACTATTACTACTTACATTCTGCCGACTACAAGATAGCGAACGTGAGTCGCGTCGTTTCCGGTGATAATCGCTCGATCATTACTCGCTGCGGCGACACGGTTCATCTCGTGATCTTGCACCATCGAGGAAGACTGTTTTTTCTCTTTTTTTGTTTGCTTGTACAAGAAAAAAAAGGGTGAAAACGTGCACAGGTTTTTTCATACAAACAGAATTCCCAGACAATTGCGAGTACGAATAGTTCAGGGAACACTTCTAATTAACACTTAATTAAAAGTGTCCCGTGTTAACTAATCGAAAACTGTCTACAGTTTAGTTTTAGACGTAAGCCAATAAAGTTTTCAAAGCAGACACTCTTCAGCCCCCCAAAACCCCCCAAAAAGGGCGATCGCCCACGCTCCCCTCTTGCGCCTTTATAATACCAAAGAAGCGATTATGAGTTCTTTTCGTATTAGTGAAGTGAAAACGCAAGTTCCTTGTAAGAGCCAACACAGCGCGAGGGGGGTCGCGGTGTCAGAGACGCTACGCAACCAACGGGGAATCGACGAGTGGTTTATTAATGTCGGGACACACAACAATATAATATGAAACTGATGTAAAATGACAGAGGAATAAGAAGACCACCATAACGAGAGAATGAAAGGGAGACGAACAAAGACGTCATCGGGTCGCTTTAGCTAAGAAAGGGAAAGTGATTGATTGCGTCTGAACCAGGAAACAGCAGATGGATTACAAAAGTCATGCGTTCGGCGAACGCTACAGAGATTATGCTCGCGATATTTGTCCGCACCGCTACACGTTTGTCGTGCTACGAGAAGGACGTTCGATGGAGAATGAAAAAGCGACCTTTCAAGGCATAAACGTGCTCGAGAGAAGCGGTAGCGATGAGCCCATTTCTCCTAACATGTCTTCTGACATGGCGGTCAGAAGACGTATTAGGAAAAATGGATTAGAAAGCGAAGCGACAAAACTTATCAGGGATTTTTACTTCGTCGTGGATGTAATAGTGTGTGAATGCATGTGTTGAAAAATACTATTAATTGATAAGCAATTAATTTACTGATTAGGCATATATAAACGACAAAGGGAAACGCAGAATTAAGGCTTATCGAGAGGTCTGCCTAAATTTCGCGAACACGGAGATGAGCGGTGGGAGGTGCAGACCGATCTTCTTCGATCTCTAATGATGTGATCCAAAGATACCGATCTTCTTCATCTCTTAGCCGCTCGCGCGTGCGTATATCGCAAGCGAGTTGCCGGGAGGAACCGGTTGGAGGACACGAACCCTTACGAAACTCTCAGCTGTCGACGATCGTTTTGTAAATTCTGTAATTGTTCCGAGATCTTTTCCATTTTGATTTGCCCCGTTTTGATTACGATACGTAGGATTATATAGTTGGTGGTGAAGGATTAGAGTAAACGAAAGAAAACTCGCAGCGATATCGCAGCACTCCGGTACGCGCGAACGCTTCAGTCGGTCTTTTCGTTCGTCGCTCGCGAAGATGTATGGAAGTCATCTATCAGAATCTGGACTTCACCTCGGCAGACTGTGCCGATCACAGACGCTCTGCCGACGGGACTCGGAAGTTCAGCTAGTCTTCGTTTATTCGTTTATGCGACCGGAGAACGAATCAACCGAGCCGAGCGTGCAGCATCGATCGCGATCAGCCCGCTCGAGGACGATCGAGGAATTGATGTTTTTCTCAACTGTAACCGTTTCCAAGCAGAATATATAAACACGAAAGATAATTGAAACATGTGACGCCTCGTCACCGAGCGTCACGCGTTTTAATTATCTCTCGTTTCCGAGCTCGAGCGGAGTAATGGCGACCGATCGCGCGCGACCTCTAACTTTTAAGTTCTGATTTTAAGATGGGAAACCAATCAAAAATCGGAAAGGTCGACGCGTATGAGATATACTGACATTGGAAATGTGAAGTATCTGACCGAATGAGCTATAGCCCCGTTCGACGATCTATAAGAGTGACAAGGAAAGAAGAAAGGAAAGAGCAATCGATAAAATTGACGGACTGGCGGACGGTCGGCCACGTGCCACGAGGAGCCGGAAATCGCGTGTTCGCGATCTTTATCATTCAAAAGTCGATTGAATCTTTCGGACCTATCTCGTGGCGCGAAGTCGACGTTGAACCCGGCGGAGGCCGCTTCCAAACGGCCGACCGTCCGTATTTTGTGGCATTAGTACAAAGTTTAAGAAGCGGATGGCTAAATCCAGTTTTGTGAGTAAAACGTGTCAAACACAATGGAAAGATAATTTTATCGCGTGTTACAATTTTCATTGATCGAGACGCCTGAGGACCTTTCCTCCTCATTCTCTGTTTCTCGATCAATGGAAATAAGGAGAATATAAGGAGAGTTGTGCGCCGAAAGAAGAGACGTACAGGGAAAAACAAAGAGATGAACCGGGACCGCGGCGAGCTTCGGAAGCTCGACGGGTTCTCCTGGCTTTTTCTTTTTCGCTGGATGTCGCGGGAACGCGAGACAATGGGGATAGGAGAAGAGAGTAGCAGCGAACGTTTGAAAGATCAAACGCGATGTCGAAACGGGTTGGAAGAGGAACGACCGAGTTTTCTAAATAAGAAGAGAAAGGAAACGGAAAGGGGAAGCGTTTAGAGAGCGAGAAAGAGAGAGAAAGAAGAGTGTGTTGTGTGTTAAGAATGGAAATTGAGGACAGTTTGACTTGGGAAGATAATGAAGAGTATAAGTTTATTTTTGATACATTGTTGGGGAGAACCAAGTGAGTCTTTCTTTTTCAATTTTTTTGTTAGATGTTTTATAATAACTTAATGAATTTTAACGATATTGAAAGCGAGGAGGTGTGATGGAGAAGTAAGGAGGGTATAGTGGGGGAGAGTAAAAAAGAAAGAGAGCGATATTTTTAAATATATATATAAAGATCTATCTCTTATCTCTATTTAAAAACATTGCTCCCTTTTTTCGGGAGGAGGAAGGTAAACGGCGAAAGAGAGTATAGCGAAGAGAATAGAAGCGAAGTGTTTTTCGTAAAAAATATGAGAAAAATGAAAAATAAAAATGAATGGAGGGAGAGAGAGACAGTTAACTTTAACTTAAATAGATGAAAAAGGAGAAGAGAGAGAAAAAAAAATAAGATGAGACGGCGCGCAGCTTTTTGCGCTGTGCGTCCGTCGCTCGTCATCGGGGAGGGAGGGAGGGGGGGGGTGGATAAAGGAGATTTTAGTCTGGTAAATTGTATAGTATATTTAATATATTTGGAGAAAACGGCGGCGCCGGGCCCACACGGCGAGGACGCGTCATCTTTTCGACGGCCAGCGACAGGACGATTCGGGCTCGCAGTTTTATGCGACGCGAACTTGTTGTCGCTGTCTGGAAAGCCCTCCTCGCCTGCAGCCCCACGCCGACGTGTTTATTTATCAATCGTAAATATTTAATGAAAGAGGTAAAAAAAAAAAGAAATGAAATGAAACATAAAAGGAAAGAAATAGAATAACAGTTTATAGAAAAGGAAAAATAAGAAAACAATGAGAAACGATGAAAGTGCCAAGGAAAACAAACACAGTATAAAACGCACACACGCAGCAAATGTCAAGACCCAGGTAGAACAATGTAAAAACCAAACCAATAACCGTTTCACACGAGACACATAAGGGAAAGTAAACAATTGAGAAGAAACAAAAGAACACCAGCAGGGATCACGCATACGAGAACAAGTTAGAAAAGTTAATAAACATATCTGCCACCATCATTGTCACCGTTACCAACAACAATTAACAACCCTCGACAACAATTAACAAGAACGAAGATAAAGATATTTGTTTATAAAACACGAAACGAAAAGAAAAACAATCATTCACGCTATTTCCAGATCACTTGACGCTCCTTTTTCCTGAAACGATGCACACGTGGAGATATCTTATACGTTTTGAAATTAAATCGTTTATTTCGGCCAAAAACAATCAAAATTGCTCAGAGAGAACGAAGGAAATTTTAGCAGACAAAAGAGAGAAAGCACGACGCGAGTACGAGACAACACAATCGCTCTTCTCAGCAGGAACGTCGCGTTGTCGCGAGCGAAACCGACTTCGTTCCGACAACGATCGCCCCACCAAGGGGTGAGTTTTACCAAAAAGAGATGTTCCGAGAAAGGTTTCGGAATATCTGTTTCTGATAAATCTCACGAAATAGACAAAAAAATTGAAAAAAATATGTACGTACGAGAAAAGGAGGAAAACAAAAAAAAAAGGAAGAAACGAAAATTCGTAAATTCGTAATCTGCCCCGCGGTGTGCGAACACGTTATATATACCTTTCGCTGGTTCATCGATCTTTGATTCATTTTTTTCGGTTGCGTAAAACATTTCTGAGCCGACACTTCAAACGGAATTGGAGGAAAGGGAAAATTTTGGAAAGTAGATACTTGGAGTCTGTAGTGTTGGAACGAATAGAGAAACTCAACGACACCCTCAACGACTTCATTGCTCGCTCACACTTCTTGCACCCCTATCACGATGAAGGGAGGAGAACGAAGGAAAATTTTCGAAGACGAATTCGCGGAAAGATGATGAATGAATACTAAACGCAAACGTTTTAGCAACGACAACGATTACAAAGCAAAAAAAGAAAACCCTGTCCACACGGAAGAGAGAAGAAGCACAGCCGTCGCGACAAACACGAGAACGGGAAAAAAATGCTACTTTTTTCGGACGATTCCTCAGCACAGCACTTCGAACGCCAAAAAATGAAAAGGGTAGAGAAAAGATGATGAGATACGTCGGGATTTTGGAGACGAACGAGGAGGGGGCAAGAAGCACCCTCGCTCTCGAAAAATGTACAAATCAAAGTAACAAAGTGAAGAAAATAAAAAGGATGAGAAAAAAATGACGGATCATCATTTTTTTTATCATCCTTCTTATTTAATAATGAATAACTTAATTGAAGAAAGAAAGAGAAGAGTTTTAACGTTATAAATTATTGTGAGCGTGAATTAAGGGGTTATATTACGATTAGAGGTAATTTAATCTACTTGGATAAGGAAAATCCACAATGAAATGTACAAATAAATTTATTGCTAAATCTAAATGTTAGTATTCTAGAATATTTTACCGTCGAAATGAGAAAAAGAAAAATGAATCGTGTTTATCGATTTAGATTCGAGGAAATTTATCCGGCGAAATAAGGAGATGAATTTATAAAAACAAGGAAAAAACAATGCAAAGATCTTATCGAGCATTTTCTAAAGTAAAAAAAGCAAAAAACGTAAAAAAAAGATAATGAAGTACATACAGACAAAGCAAAATTTCATCGACCAGAATATTGGGGAAACAGATATCAGAGTATCTTTCTTACCGGAAGTGCGAATATCCGTGCGCAAACATTCAAGCATTCGATCGTATGCGAGCCCCGCGAGCATATGCGGCGAAAGGAACAGAGGGTTGTAAACAGAGAAACATAAAAGAGTAAGCGCTTCTTTTTCTTTTCGTACAAACGTCCAGAATATCGTCAACGTATCTCCGACGACTGTTGTTAAGCTTTTATCGACCTTTTTAACCATGTTCTTACTAACGTAGAATAGCGGAACGCGATCTTTTGTACGATTTTTTACGAAATCCATTTCTCGAGTACTCGCTTTGAATCCGTCGAGGAGAAAGCGCGGTTCATCACACAGCTCCACGGCCGACGAAACGAAGAAAACACGCGAAAAAAGTAAAAAAAAAAGAAAAAAATATACGAAAGAAACACGGGGGGGAATAAATCATCGTTCATAGAAGAAAAAACAACGCCGGCTCGACGGCCAACGGAAGAGCCGAGGGGAACAAGAGACCAAAAACCGTCGTTCTCTCGATCCAGGAATACCGCAAGCACAAACGAATTTCGCCGAAGCGAATTAAGGACACAGGAGAGCGTCTAACGCGTAACAGCTACGCGATTCGCGGACAACAACGCATTCGATGGGTAATCATCAGAAGACGTACGAAACAAGAAAACGGAACGGGGGGGCCGCCTTGCGACCGGGCAGCCCCGTGAACAAAACGAAACGAAATCGAGAAAAGCAGGATCTTCCATTTCCGCGCACACGGCTGCAGACGACTCGTCTCGAAAAAACGTCTCTCACAGTTCGGCCAGCAACCTCGTCGCTCGACGAACAGATTCGAACGGAAGCACCGACGGCACGCGCTCTCGACGGTGGCATAGAAAAAGAACGTGCATCCGAATTTCCGGCCCCTTCCCCTGATAATCTAAAGGAAACCAAGAAGCGCAGACAAAATCGAAAGAGTCCACCGAGATGCTTGTAGCAAGAAAAAAGAAGAAAGAAGGAAAACGGGAAACAAAATTCCATCGACCGACAAGAGTCGTCGAGTTCGATCGCACGTTGGACCGGTTCGCCGAACGAACCAACCGTTCGCCGGTTGTGCTGTTTCGTGATGCCAAAAATCCAATTCGAAAGAGAGACGAACCGCCGCTGCTGTAGAATCTTTCCAGCTTTGCTTTTACGGAGATGCTTTCACCGTCGTCGATGTCTACAACGCGAGACATTCGACGATATAATCGTAGAATTTGACGCGTAACGCGGAGCAGGACACGCGGCATTCAGCAACGTCCAATTTCTCTTTGTGGGCCAGTGTTCCGAGACTGTCTTCGTTACATACATACATACATACACACACGCGCGCGCAAACACACATTCACACACACCATTCGACCATCTTGCATCGGTCCAGGATGGTTCTGTTACACCGACGTCAGTTTTCACGTACCATAAACGTAGAACACGAAACGCACGAGGGATCGCTGTCACGACGCGATCGCTTTTCTATTCGTTATAGATCAAATACGATCATGTATACTATAAGCATATAAATAGATTATATATATAAATATATATATAAATATATATAAATATATAAAAACGCGGGGATGATATTTGTATCGTTCCGCGTGCAACTTAACAATAGTAAATCGATGAAATATACGAAACGGTCACGGGGGTGGCCTGACCGGTCCTCCGCTCCTCTGGCCGGCGACCATTCTCAACAGGCTAAAAAAGCATAGCACTTCTGTTTCATTTCTTTATAAATATTTCACGGTGATAAACTATGAGATATTTATAGGTAAATAGTGGTAAGGGATAATTAATATCGGATCCACGACAAAGGACGCTGTTCGGCGTCGTTCGCGGTGACTACTAGGGTGGGTCGCAGCCATTTTTTCAACTCCAGAAGAATAAGAGATAGCGAGAGAGAGAGTGAGAGAGAGAGAGGAAGCACACCGGGATACCAACGGTGGTAGATTATTTTGGGCTTTAGTATTAGTATTTCGATGTAGGCGGAGTTCAGCGGCAGCCGAACTTCGTAGGATCGCGATTAAACCGCCGATGAAGGGTAAAAGGAGAAGATGCCGGCCGCGAGATCCAGGCGTCGTTAGTTTCGAGCCGATTGCGGCGGTCTCTCCGACCGCTTTCTCGTTCGACGATCGACCGGCATCGAACGACACCGATTCGGTCGCTTGTTCGAACGTCGCTCGAAACTAAACGGCCGAGACCGAGATCCCGTTCGCTGGTTCCGTGGACGATCTTTCGTTCAACACGAAGACGACCGTCCCTGGGATATCCGGCCTGGCTCTGGATCGCGGAACGGTACCGAACGGTGTCGACAACGGCGGTAAACGAGGGCCTTATATATACATTTGGGCATTGTTAATGAGAGGTTCAAGTGATATCGCTACATAGGTAATATATCGGATAAGCTTAGGCGTGTTGTGTCGGTGGGGACGTTAAGGTTGACCAAGAGAGGAGATGACGCGCGATGCAAGGATGAACGCGTAGCAAGAGGCGCAAGTGTCTACGGGATTGCGCGAACGGCCGGTGCGAATGTGGGCGACGTGTCCGCGTCGCGAACGCGGGCACGTCGGGGAAACGAAACGCGATCGAGAACGATCGCGTCGGATGAAACACCGAAAGGCCGAGGTTGTGCGTCCGTGCGAATGCGAGAAGGTGTGAGTGCGACAAGGATGGTTATTCGAACAGAAATCCGCATTATACGAAGGTTCCGTCGCGGCGCGTTCTCGCCCCTCGAGAACACGTTTCGACGCGAGCCTTGGTATATTATCTATTATTATCCTATTGTTGCCAATAATGGGCATTATGAAAAAAAACGCGCGTATTTAACTTATTCTCTACACTGCATTTACATTAATCCCCCGTCCCCCCAGAGCCCCACCCCCGAGAAACCGTTTGACCCCCTAGCCCCCTTACCCACAACCAATCCCAAGAGAAAGATTCTTGTATGCATATAGTAAATACTTAATATACATTATACACTTGTTGTACATAGATATATATTATATGTAAAGCTTAAACTTATTAACGAAAGATACGGAATAACGAGACCAGACAACAGAGAGAAAAACCGTATTGATAGTGTTACAAACCCGGAAAGAATACGATCACAGAGAATAACAACAGAGGAACGAAACCCGTGGTGAAGAGAAAGAGAAAGAGATAGAGCCGTTTGGCCGCGTATGCGTGAAAATTGAACGAATGAAGAGAAAGAGAGAGAGCTGTATATCTTGTTCAGATGATACCGAGCGTCGAGTTCAAAAACCGCGAGCCACCGACCTTGGTTCGTTCGTCCGTCGCGACGGCGAAACCGAAGGGAAAGGAAGGAGAAGGAGCCGCGTCGTCCCGACGCACCGACGCCGAGCATCGTCGTCGTCGTCGTCGTCGTCGATCTCGTCTCGCACACTTCGCCGTGGAACAACGCTTATATGGGACGACTATTTATAGCAGCCAGCACTTAGGAGACCGCCGAGCTCCGATCGATCGTCGATCGATCGCGCGGCATACCGCGAACAGCGCACAGCATACTTTGAACAGCAACGACACGAAGAGCACACCGAGGACACCGGGGAGGATCCAACGAAGCAAAGCGTCGCGCCGCGAGACACCTGTAACCCGCGCCCGACAACTGCCATTTTAAATGCTGTCCAGTCACTGCCAGCGAGACGAGAGACACAATGTACACACCGTTCAACAAAGAACAACCACGGAAGAAGTTGATGCATATGCATACATATGTGTAAATATTATCTAGTGATATCCTACTAATGTAACTACGACACAGTAATTCCCTATCTCCCTAGATAGAGAATTGCTGTATCGCAGTTATCGGGAGCCATACTGTGCTGTGTGTCATATCAGTGTATTCCTGCAAAGTCGACCGGGGGAATCCCGGAGTGAGAAGGACGAAGATGATGATGATGATGATGATGATGATGATGACGACGGAGGTGCGAGGAGGATCGACCGGTCGCAAGCGTCCAGAAGCGAGATGAGTAATACTAAAACCCAAAATAGCCGTTTCCGGGAGTTCGGTCGAGGAGGATGGTCCATGCACGTTGGGACGCTGAGAAGAGGGCGCGCGATCGCGTTTGTTCCGTTCCGTCGCGTTTCGCGAGCCGGGAAAGTTCGCGGGGGAACGTCGATTCTCTTCGTCGATTCGCTGCCTCGTAAGTTACACGCGCGCGCCGTAACACATGCTAGGAGAGTTTTTAGGGCACCGTGTTTCTCGTACGGATTCCGATAGGAACGAACACAACCACCGGAGCAGAGGAAAAGGAAACAGGAGAACAAAGAGGGCGAGATGAAATTTAGAAAAAGAAACAGCGCGATGCTGCGAGGCACGCGCCAACAAAAAAAAATACGAAGATGATAAAAAAGGACGAAGAAACGAAAGTAGAGAAAGAGTAAGAGATTTCTCTTACTCTTTCTCTATGTTTGTTTCTTTGTTGTTTTTGCGTGTACGGTTTTCGCACGTTTTTCTTTTTATATCTTTTTTCGTATCCTCGGCGGAGGGTTCTTTTTTTATGGGAAATAAGCATCGTTTGGCTTTGTCAGAAACTCGGTTTTCCGGTTCTCCTTTCTTCTCTTGTTTATTCCCTTTTTTTCTTCTTTTTTTATTATTAAGTAATAATTGCAATGATAATGATAGATAGGATAACGGTTATCGTTAAGATTTCATTCGTTCCGCGTTCCTTTGTTGGCACAATCTATTCGCTCTATTTTTCATCCTATTTTAATTCTTTTTCCTTTTAATTCTACAGATATTTTTCACGCACGTTCATCGTTCAACTGTTCGGTTTACAAACGTTAGTTCGCCGCGACGCGACAGCCACGTTTCGCGAATGTCGTTCCGTTAACCCGCGCGTTCGCTGATTCCATGTTTTTATTCATTTTTTCTCTCCATAGATATTTTTCTGCCCGCGCGCGCACGAGCATAGACGACGAGACACTGTTACACACACACACTCGATTACACGCACACACGATAGAGCAGGTGCACACGGTTATAAATAGTCGGAGGAGTGGGGGGGATCGAAAACGATTAGAGAACGAATTGATTTTCAATTTTGCCGCGTGCACGCGCGGCTGCCGAGATCGTTGTTCCGCTCGTTCTTTTTCGCGACAGATCGCGAGCGAATCGGATGACAGAGAGAAAGAGGAGGGTTTCAACATTCGCGACGGGGGGTAGGTCGATATGGGGTACCATCGATGGTTCCGGGTCGGAAGTGTTCGGTCGAACCAGTCGCGAAAATCTCAAAGAAGATCATCCTCGACTTCGTCGATTCCGCGCGGAGAAACGCGCGCGAGAGGCGCGGCTGAATCGTGGGACCACTTTGTCTACCACTCGCGGGAACGGGTCGCATCGTTCTTCGTTAGCGCGCGCGTCGAGGGGCGCGAGGCATCGCGAAATTGACAACCCGCGGCCGCAAAATCTTCTCGGTCGATTGGCCTCGAGTCGAGACTCGTCCGGGATTATTCGAGACTCTTCGGGCAACCGATCGTCGCTCGACGCAGAAAAACCGCACGGTCGAGGCGCGAGCCCTCGTCGGGAAAATGGTATTGTCGACGAAGGGAACGGAGCACGGAGCACGTTGGAAACACGTGCGATTTAACCCCGTTCCCGACGGAGAAAACGAACAACGCGCGCGCGTCGCTCTCGTTCTCTCTCGCGTTCCTTTCTTGATTTTCGGGGAAAAGAAAAAACAGGACGGATCTTTGGGGATCAAATGAGAAGAGAAAGGGAAAGAGTCGCTCCCGAGAGAACGCACGCGCTTTTCCGCGGCAACAGCGAGAGAGAGGCACGGAATTATGTGCCGGTGACGGACGGGCAACGAGAATTCTATTATCAGGAAACAGAAGCAACGCTGTACCGGAATCATCATCCGAATTGTCAGAAAAAGAGAGAGAGAGAGAGAGAGAGGGTGGACGGCTTTTGTTTTCCGCTGGATGTGTACGTACATCGTATACGTTTCTTTATAGAGCACGCAGGGCGAAGAGAAAGAGAGAGACGGAAAAGAGCAACGGGTACGGAAGAGAAGAACCCAGAAGAGAAGATGGACGAACGATCAAGGTAACGACCCTGTGCACAACGCCTGGGCGACCTTCGAACCAGACCACCGACCACCGGACTACTTCATTTCACTTCGATGCATTTCACAGACGAGACGCAGAGACGATGGAAAGGGAAAAAAAACAATTTTGGAAAAGCGATAATGTATCTTATTCTACACGCATACCGGAAACACACACACATATTATTATACATACGTTATATATAAATATAGAGATCTAGTGGATGTACGTAAACATTATTAATACGCGCATCTAATTTGATGGTATGTGATTTATAATCGAGGGAGAGAGTGATTGGAGACAGCGAAGAAGAAACGCGAAGATTGGGATACCGTGATGATAAAGAGAATCAGATAAATGTGTGGGAGGATCGATGTTAGCGAAAGACTCAACTGTTTCCCATTGCGATCGGTATCACCGTGTAACGAATGGTGATACCGATCACGATGGGAAATAGAAACGGCGACGACGCCGTTCTGCTTTTTGCGCGCGATGATACCACTCGCAAATTTTTTCTTCTTGGTTCGCGTGTTTGTAGAAACGAACACACGATTATTACACGCCTGCCAAGATCGAGCATATTGTTACTTTCATTTGTCGTAGACGTTCACCGCGGTTTCATTATTCTGCGTGTCCCGCAAGAAACGGTAAAAAAAGAAAGAAATGTAATAACGAGACACGACGAACGCCGATGATGAATAAAGGGTGGAAAACGGTCGATCGGCCGCGGACTAAAATCGTGACAAAGAAAAGAGTAATGATCATAAAAATAAAATGCTTGAACAAAAATAAACGTGAAAATACGAAAGAGAATATACCAAGCGAAAAAACGGTTGTTACCTGGATGATAGCACGTGCTTGAATGGAAACAACATTCGATTTCTTGATTAAAATAATAAATAATATAGAGGTTGCGCATTGCCGACGGAGACAGCCTCCGCGCTTGCATTTGCTTCGCACTCGCTACGTTGGTTATAATGATTTTTTTTTTGTTTTAATTTTTGCGCTAGCGCGGGGCACGTAAAACCCTTCGTCACGATCGTTGCCGATTCGGGTACGATATATGTACGTGTATTTGAAAACATCGCTCGGTTTCATCGACCGACCGGACGAGACGACACCAGAAAGGATATAGAAATCGCGCGCGCGCGCGAGAGAGAGGGAGAAAAGGGTTAGACGTGGAAAAGAAAACCGGCTAAACGGAAACTGTGACCCGGACGTCCAAAAAAAAGGTCCGTCCGTAAGAGAAATTGCTCACGATCAGGCGAAACGGACGGTGAACGTGACGAAGGCGAAACACGCACGCCCCTCCGATTACGATAATTTCACCGTAATTAATTCATTTTTTGTCTACTTTAGTTTACTTTTAATAATGCTACTATTCTACTATAAAACAAAAAAACCTTTTAACTATATAATCGCTTACCACTATCGAATACTTTACTATTTACTACTATACTATTACTACTACTACACTACTATTTACTACTATTACTACTATTACCGCTATATTCTTTTGTGTCTTCGATGATTTGATGATGATTATAATGATTTAGTTTTTTTTCTTCCTACATTCGTGAATTCCGTGAACAAGATTGCGTAAACGACGAGAAAGGGATTCAAAACATTCACACATACATACATAACGTACGTACACACAGATAGATAGATAGATAGATTGAAAGAGAGAGAGAGAGAGAAAGAGAGAGGAAAGCTCGTTCTTTTTTTCTTGGTCCGAGGAACTCGTTAAATTTCCGATGATGACTACCAGAGCAATGACTATATAAATCGACATACATAATTTTCATATTTCTTTTTTTTTTTTTTTATTCAACGCCCACAAGTATTTTTCTTTGCAAACGCTCAGGCACGCGATACCTGTCGAGATCCAGTGTGCTTTTCTTATTCTTTTTTTTTTAATTTTTTTTTTGTTTGAATATCCGAAAAACGGGAAGGGACAAAAATGATGTGCAGCTCGGACACGGTTGAAACGGATCTATAATCTTCGTGGCGTGTAACGAAGTTATGAACAAGTAGAAGAATCGCGAGAAAAACAAAAAAATTGAAAAAAAAAATGGTGTGAAAAAATTATATCCACGTATATATATATACATATATGTAAAATCAAAGACACAAGATTCGCTTCCCGGTTTTCTCCTCGCGAACGTTCGAATAAATCGGATTGGTAACTCGGAGAAATTCATTATTTTATGCGTCCTCGCGTTTCAGTTCTTTTCCTCAAGAGGATATATCAACGTTTGTTCTACGTTTTATCGGTTTATCGTATTTATCGTCTTGCCTTGATTCTTTTTTTAAACTCCCTTTTTTTACCTACAAATTGCTACGACTTCTTTTTTTTTACGCGTTCTCGTCTTCGGGTAGGAACCGATAAAAATTCTTTAGCGTACACAACTCCCTCTTGGTTTTCGTTTTGTTTTTCTTTTTCTTTTTTTTTTCTTTTTGTTCTTTTAACAATTCATCGATTCGCGAACCTTTTTTTGTCGGTCCTCGCCATCGCGCGCACACGACCACACATATACATATGTAAGTACACGCGCGGGTGAACGTCTCTGCGTACACGTACACAGCAACACCAGCTCGCAGACACGCGTACACGATTGTATTTAATATGGCGCGTAAAGTTTTTTTTTCGATCAAAAGAAAAAGAAAAAATTGAAAATTCTACAATCTTTTTTAGTGGATAATATTTAAAGTTTAAACATACATAACTATATGGATAATCATTAAGTACAGAAAAAAAAAACATAGAGGTTAAAGTACATAGGCATGTAAGGCAGTGAATGAAAAAAAAAACGAAAAAAAATTTCACTTAGCGGGCCGCTTTCCTCCAGACGCTAAATTTCTGCTTCGAGGGTTCTCGTGGGTCCAGGAATATTTTTCGAAATTGTTATGCAAAAGAGTGAAAAGAAAAGAATAAAAATTCTTCGAAGCGACGTTTCGAAACGTTTCGGTGGTTAAATTCCTTCTGCTAAAAAAGAAAAGGACCTTAACCGCCGAAACGTTTCGAAAAAACGTTTCGGAAAACAAAAACAAACCAAAAAAAAAGGAAAGAAATAAAGGAAAATACACGACTGTGTGGTTTCTCGTTTCTCATCTGGAGGAAGAGCACCCGCTAAACACGCGTTTGGTTTAAAAAAATTAGTAGGCGAACGTGAGGAATTGCCCTGTATCATTTGAATGAAACGAAAGTGGAACGCTGCCGGTTGAACATAAAAAATCGCAGAGGGCTCCGTAGGGAGCGCGGAGAGAGAGAGAGAGAGAGAGAGAGAGAGAGAGAGAGAGAGAGAGAAAGAGAGAGAGAGAGAGAAGTCAAGGACAAGCAGAGATGTTACTTGAAATGAAACAAGGAACGAATCATGGTAAAGACAACGGAGATTGGAAATCGATGATGAATCGAATGGAGAACGGAAGAAAGAAAGAGAGAGAATGAGTGAGTGAGTGAGGAAAAGAGAAAGCAAAGCCGTGCGTGTAAACGGAATAAGGCAGAAGTTGAAGGTGACCAAGGAACAATCTTTTTATTTCATGTGCACATTGTCAACATCTTCTTCTGAACAGAGTAATCCGTCAACAAGCATAACAAGCACCTTGCATACGTGGTACTACACGTATTCGAGTAGAAAAAAAAATCTATATAGATGTTATATATACATATATTTATATATACACACATTTGCACACGCATACGTAAGCTGAAAGTATCGTCGCGCATGCAGGAATAACAACAAGAACAACAACAACAACAACAGCAAAGGAAAACATAACGGGAAACAATGCACGATGTAAACCTGAATGAATCAAGAGGTTAAACAATGTGAGAAAGAAGACGAAGGATGGAAGATTAAGAAGAAAAGAGACCGATTCTCTCCGCCTGTAATAAGCGTTTAAGAGTGTTATTAAACGATACCAGATTTACCATAGAAAGCTATATTATATATAGATATTATATATATCTACACGCGGTAATAATACGTCATATATATTTTGTCAATTTTTTCTTTGTTTTATTTTTTAAAACCGACGAGATAATATCGCGGGGGAAAGAAAAGATAAAATATAGATACAGCGAGAAAAGGGGAGGATAAAAATCAGGTGGCAAAACACAAGAGAAAGAGAAAGAGAGAGAGAGAGAGACGGACAGATTTGACAGACAGAAAGAACTATAGATGCGAAGAGGAATAATATTAATAATATAAACTGATAACTAATAATAATAATAATAGAATACGAGATACATATTATAATAATATGGCAACCTGGTGGCATTTAAACGTACCTATTATTGAAATAACGTACGCTGTAAGGATTTTAATAAGGAGAACGTAATTCCGCAGATGTGTCCCACAAATACGCAAAGAAAGAAAAAGAAAATAATAACGCAAAGTCTTTCTCCGATCTTTTTCTCCGCCTTTTTTTCTTTTCTTTTCTTTTTTTGTTCTTTTTTTTTTTTAATTTTTTTTGTTTTCTTTTCTTCAAAGAAAATGCCGCTGTTGAATGACATACACAGTACATTTTTCTGTAGAGAACATTTAATAGACGCGTGCCGCCGCATCGACGAAAGCGTGACATAATTAATAACAAATCATAAGTGCAATAGTTGTTACAATAGTTCACGGGAATTTTTGTTTTTTT